TATTAACTTGTAAATAAACATAAACACAATACAATCGATCAACAAACATTCAACAAAATGAATACATTTTTGTGTACATTTATCAGAATTACAAATGTTATTATTAGTAGATAGAGAGCATTAAGATTGTTTATTATTAACGAATAATTCTCATTATCATTACCATCACAAGATTATCGTAATCAGTACTTATTATTTATCATTGTCAAATTTGAGTATAAATACTAGGGACGGGCAAAGCGTATATTCACATCCTTAATAAATTAAGAATCTTTTATTTAATTTTTCATATAAAAATGGATACATTACAGGTTATATTGAATTTCATGCCGCAGTTTGTGTTGTGCTGTTTGTTAGCTATAGCCGTGATTGGAACGTCGCCGTATGAATCATTTAAGTGGAAATTGGTTTGGATGTTGCGATGTTTGGGAAGCCCATTTGAAGGATTGCTCTATTTTTGCAGTGTGGAAAATAAAAAAACAGCAATAACCACATTTTGGTTATCGGCGGCCTATTTCAGGAATAACGAAAAAGGCATTCGGCCAATCGGTCATCATTTCATGGAAATTGACAAAAAAAAAGTAAACGAAGATGTAATGGCTATTTTGAAAGATTGTACAGCGAAACCGTCTGTACTTGATGTGTTCTCATCATTGGTATCATTGTCTTATATATTAAATGGAATATTCACAGGAATAGCCAGGGCAGCTAGCGCATGCGTAGAAGATGATTGGACATTCATTCCCATAATCCTGGCATGGACATTGCCAGCAATTTGTTTGAGGATCTTTAGCAGAAGGGAAATAGTCATTAAAGAACCTAAAATAAGGATAGAAAGATTGTTAAAAGGATGCAGGAAAAAGTTCAAAAAATACAAAGAAAAACAGCCGGGAGAAGAGGCAAATGAATCAGAAGGTGAAAATGATGATTTGGAAAAATTAGAAAAAAAAGTAAAAAATGAATTGGAAAAGTTATGTTGGTATGATAATTATCAAGAATTAAAAAGGTTGAGAAATGAAGTTAATAATTATGATGAATTAAAAAAGGATTTAGAAGAGTTGAAAAAAATGTTGTCAGAAAAACAAATACCTTTAAAACAACCTGATAATATAGATTTATGTTTGATAAGAGTTGAGGTTTTTATGATTTTTGCATTCGCATTAATGTGTCCTTGGCTAGCAGTTTTGATTGCTTACTTTTCACCCCCAATTGGCTATGGCTGTCGGAGTATGTATTTTACACTATTCTGTGTTATATGGTCAGCAAATTCCATTTTGGCATACGCACTCCACTTGAAAGGGAAGAAAAATGTAATAGATAATTGGATCATCAATATATGGTTCTGTTTCAGTGGTCTGGTAGTAGCAGTTGCCTTAATGTTTCTAGTTCTTTTAAGCCATACAAAGATATGGTGGGTGGTAGTTTTTGGTGATTTTTGCAGTGTTAATGATTCATGCACGGGGACATGATTAAAAAAATACTTATACGATGTATACCAACAGCACATTCTCAACACTTGTTGTCACAATTGTGAGAAGACAAAATTTGATTTTACTATTATCTTTATTTATATTAATTTATTAATTTTATTATTTATCTATCTATATTTTCATTGAAACAATTTCGAAATTAACTTTTAATTTTATTCAATCATAGAAACCAATGTAATAAAACTAGACATTTACTTTATGTATGTGTATGAATATACGAATGTTATTAATTGATGAATGTGTTTATAAATCTGCGAGAAACATAGCCCGAGAAGTAATTAATTCATATTAATCTAGAATGAAATCATATCTAAGCAATACCATTATTATTATATGTAATAATAATAGGATCATCTATTCACTACGAATATAGTAATAATAATGATAATCAGGTTATCATTATAATATCGCCATTTTAACCATCAGTCATCAAGTTGACGTTTCTTAATGATGGCGTTAATATATACTGTATTTATAATAAATAGAATTGCACCTCAACACTGTATAAATCAAAATAGAAGAATCCTAATACACTAAAAGTATATTAAAATCTTATATTGACACCAACTCCATATAAAATAATTGATGCTCGAGATGGGATATTGAATAATTAAAAAAAATGATGAAACAAAAAATGATGAAATAAAACATTTACATCACAATCGAAATAACAAACAATTTTCTTGAACAACAATAACATAGGAGTACACTAACAAAACCAGTGTTGTCAGCGGATGCGGGACTGTCCGGTCCGGGAATGTTCGTGTCCGTGTCCGTCACTTTAAATGTCCCGGACCATTCTTGGACAAAAATATAAATTTTTGCCTATTACCTCTTTCTTAAAGCTTTGGTGATTCTGTAAACACTTTATGGTACAATTAACAAAGCAATAAAGCTCCTTTATTGCCATTAATTCCTTCTAAATAAATAATACGAAAATATCAAAATAATTAATAAATGTACGGAATACAGATATAATAATAAAAATAAAAAAAAGATTACTTCGGGATTATAGTGTTTTCAATCAGCGAGTTAACGTCAAATTCAATCCCGTTAACACACATAATAAATGGATCACAGCATGTATGTACATATTAACATTAATATTATTCACGATATTTTTCCCTTTTTAAATACTTGCCAATCATAATCGCTCTTAACTCCACCCCAATTAAATTCATTCAAAAATGAAAATGATATATTTGTAAAACTAAAGCTAATATACACATATATAAGAAAGGTTTGTAGTTTTTTGTAATAAAATGGACACAGACATAACTTTTCATTATAAAAACTGAACACATACTTTTCATCTATTCTTAATTTAACGTTAATAATAATATTTCGGTTTTTTTTTTTTTTGATTTGCAAATTACAAATTCACTTCCATTTTAATCTTTCACTTTTTCAAAATACTTCCATGTGTTACGATTCGTTTTTTTAAACCGCTTAAATCATTGGAACTTGAAGCCAATGAACTATTAGACCTTGTATTGGAGGTGTTTATTCATTCACATGTAAAATTATCATCAACAACACACTACTATTGTCGTCATCATCGTATTGGTGGTATTGATAATCTTCCGCATTGAAATTTTCCATTTTGAATGATAAAACACAAAATCGTAATTGGTCAGACAATAATAATATTAGCATAGTATTAGCATTAGTATTAGTATTAGTAGTATTAGTATTAGTAGTCGACTATTAGTTGTTCAAAAAAAAGTTTAGTCGACTATTTTAGTCGATTCCAAGCCTCTACTATTGCTTTCTTTATTGTTATTTTCTTTTGTCATTCTAAGTAGTGCAGATGGACCCATCTCGACCAAATGTCTATGTCGCTAAATTCTCCACTAATAATACGCATTTTACTGATAGTTTTTCAATTCGTTTGTCTATTTTTTTTTTAACAGGTTGTTTATTCACGGAGGTTTAAAAATATTAATGTATATATTAGTATTTTAATATTAAATAGAAATCTATTTTTGATAATAATAATAAAATTATGAATTCATTTCCGATGTAATTTTCAGAAAATTTCCAATTTTCTTGTTCAATAGTTTCTTTCCTAATAATTTCCACAATCAATCTGTCAAGTTACTGGTTCTTTTGGCATTTTTAGAGAATATTTCAAAAGCAAGCATCGGGTTGGAAAAGTTTACGTGTCTCAGTTAAATCAATCATTCGTCAAGATACTGTTTCTGTTGTGCTAAAAACAATAGTAAACTCAATTTTCTCAAAACATAATTTTCACGTTATGGTCTTTTTTTATCGTTCAGACCAAAAATATTTTGCATCGATTCCAGATTATTAGATATGAGAGAGTATATTTACATACATATTTCATATCTACTGCATTTCATATTGAAAGTACGTTTTTTATTCATTCCGCATTCTACTCAACAATTTTTTACGGGGGCGGACAGATTTGTTGAAATGTGTGTCAATTATCTCTGTATTAATTAATGCTAACACATTGACTAGTTCAGAACAATGTTGATCAATATTCATGCTATTAGACTTTACTACTAAAATATGACAAGAAATAGCTGCAATTAAAGTGACCTCATTATTGATTCCATAATCGAATGAAGATAATAATTGTGGCCCATCATTATTAATTAGAGGTGATGATCTATACGAGTTGCTTTTAACATAAACCAATTGGCAGCGTTGTTGATGTGGTGTGGTGGTTGTGGTAAAGTCAACATGTTATTGTTGTTGTCATCATTAGTAATTTTTATGAATTCGAAGAAAATATTTTGTTGAAAGTTCCAATTCATTAGCTTTTTTATAGGAAAAATACAAATAAAAGATTTTATCATCAATTTTCTATTGATAGGTTTTATACTCGGAATCCGTAGCTTCTCCAAAGTAAACTATTTATTTTAATATAACGAAAGAAATGTTTTTGCACTTTTTTAAGATCTATACTTACAAATTTGCGTGATTTAATGTGATCTTGCATAATAAAAGGACAAAACTTTATATGTAACTTTTATTACTCGATTGATATTACAATTTTATGGCTTTAACAACTGAGCATAAATAAAAATTAAAAATCTTCACTAATTAAAAAATAAATTGGCGAATTATATTCAAGTTGAAATATGAGACGCGAATATTTATCTCATAATATGAAAAATCTCACTCATTTCTACATCCCCGAGAGTAATCCCTTTTTTTTTTGATATTCTTAAAAAAAAAAAGTATAGATATGTTCCTTGACATTTATTTCATAACTCAAAATAAAAAAATTATTTTATAGTACTAAAGTATAGTACCAGTTTTTTATACAAAATCGTCAATTAGTGAATTCATGATCAATTAAATTTTATACGTAATAATATTATTTTGAATAAATTCTTTAAAAACAATGCCGTTTAAATTGACTACTACTTGTGTGATCGATTCAATCATTAACACCAAAGGAACAAGATTAATAATTTATTGAATTTTGCAAATCATCTAATTTCAGCAAAATTTAGGTTTTAGTACTGGTAGAAATTTGGTTTCGGGTCACAACACTGACATATATATTGATATATATATTAATATTGGCCAAAAACGGCCAACAGACCAAACGACTAAATGACCAAATGCCATTTATGGCATTATTATTGTGTATGATAGCTAATAAATGTCAAACTGAATAAAAAATTTTTGATTTATTAATTCCCGTCGATTTCATGTGACTATAAATTAACGATTAAAACCAAATACTTAACCAGTTAAACGGTCGACGGTGCCAATATTTAGCCTAAACCTACATGTTTATTATTGATGATTTATTTTTAAATTTATCGATTTTTTTATTCATAACTTATTAATAGATAGATATACCTCGAATTTGCCAATGATCTCACGATGGAAGCATTCAGAGCAACAATCTTTAGTAGCAGGAGAAAACGAATTGATAAATTGATACATAAACTGGTTTTTCGAGCCTAATTTTTCGTCAAAACTTGCTGGTTATCTAATTGGTAAATATTCTCAGTATATTTCAAAAAACTCTACAGTCGAACCTCGTTATAACAGTCCTCATTATAATGGATTTTCGTTATACCAACAAAAGTCTTGTCCTTGATTTTTCAATAAATAAAAAAATTTATTATAACTAATTTATATAACAAGCCTTTGTTATTCAGTATAACGAATATTTAATAAGATTTATTAATATATTAATATTATATTCTACTAGTCGGATCATTACTGCTGCACAAAAATTGGAATTTGACAACATCAGGAAAATAAATCTCATATGTATAAACCTATGTAGGGTTTAAAACTGACCAGCATTATGCGGAAATATTAACAGGATTACCAAAATATCGACATAATGCTGGCCAATTCTGAACCCTACGTAGGTTTATGTAAGATTTATTTTCCTGATGAAGTTAGTGATATCTTAAAAATTTCTAACGGATGGCTTGATATTGATCCAAATTCATACCAGCATCATTAAAAAAATCGCGTTCCCCGCCTTTAATATATTTTTCATACATTAAAGAAAAAAATTAATTTATATATCTAAACCAGCGAAAAATGATAATTACTATTTATTTTTGTTAGTATCAATGTACAAAATTATCACGTGATAATTTATTGCCGAACCCCCTGTTATAACGGACAATTGAGGTCAAATAATGTGTTCGTTGTAACGAGGCTTGACTGTTCAAAAATTTTTAATAACTAAATTATACAGGGAATTACCCTAGAGATAAATTTTTATATATTAATTTATTTTCACGCACGTGAAATTTGAAATTATATTTCACCCGGGGCGCTTTAATTAATTATTCCATTTTTGTACTAAACAAGAAAAAACTGGTTATCTAATATCATTACACCTTCCTTTTTTGGAATTTTACGAGGAAAATCCTGTACACAAAAATCATGACTAAATTTGATTAAGACGATTATTCTAAATTGGGTCACGCGTCCAAGACACTGAAAACACAATGAAATTGACAAGTTTTTTTAAAAACCAATTAATAATTCACTGGTAAATAAGATAATATTGATGAGAATGACAGAAAGGAATGTGGAGAGGTTCTAGTTCACTTGAAACCAATTGTTAATAGTATAAAAAATGAGACTTAACCTTCAATCAGCAGGAAAAAAAAAACAACAGAAGCAAAGTTAACCGCTTTCTAAAAGTTTAAAAGGTGGAAAATATCGTACTCATATTTGGCATGAGGATATAAACTAAAAGAATACCTATCGGAACAAAAAAATAATGTTACAGATAGAATGTTTAAAAATTTATATTTTCCAGAAATTGAGGCTGAAGAAAAGAAGCCAATCACTATAAAATGTTGAATAAATTTGGTTGTGGTACCATCAAAAAAGTATCACAGAGATGTTTGTTATGATGAGAATGAGGGAGGAGATAACAATAAAAATTCTCTCAGAAATGCAGCTATATAAAGAACTCATACATACCCAAACCACATCCGGAAATTAATTTGACGTGAACGTGCGCAAACATTACATTCCCGCCATAATATAATGTAAATCTTACAACGTGCCATAATATTATGTAAGTAAAACTTACAATTTTTCTGATATTGCGCCTGAAAATTTTCCCAATGCAAGTGAAAATAATATCATGGAAATTATTAAGCGCTTTCCTTAGATCAATGGCACATACTTGCTACACGCGATGAATCTGTATTGTATACGTCTTGAAATAAAAAGAAGCTGGATTCATATCAGTAATTTCTAACAAAAGTTGAGGCTGTGTAATATAAAATCTGGTACTAATCGTGAAGGTTGGTGGACTTCTGAACATTTAAATAATAAGTTAAATCAATCAAAGAGAATTAATTGATTTTTATTTTTATTTAAAAAATTTTTTTGCTTACCAACTAATTTAGAAATTCATACTGGTTCAATTGGACCTTTTGCGTTTAAGCCAAATATCAACTAATTGCAAAAAAAAAATGAACCTTAGACCAACATGTTTAGAGATGGAACAACTCTGGATGGAATAAGACAAGAAATACATTTGCTTGATGACAGACCAAAAGGAATTGGTTCTTAAAGAATTATAGCTATCAACAAATTAGTCTGCTTGAAGGTTCCTGTTATGCAGTTCGAATCCTTGAACTTCAATCAATAAAAATTTTTATTGAAGAAACTGTTGAGTCTTGGAGTCGTAAAGTTATTTTTTATCCCAAGTTCTACTGTGAACTTAACTTTATTGAGTTATTTTGGAGTGCAGCAAAATAATATACTTGTGAAAATTGTGAATTATACCTTTCAAGTCATTAAAATAAAACTGTTCCATTGGCAAATTTCTTGCTAGTCATGGAAATTTACGGATGCTTGTAGAAATGTATGAACAGTTCTAGAAGCTTTATGTGCAGTAAAACAATTATAAATCTCATAGGAAAGCGTCAAATATTAATTAAAGTTAGTGATACTTATAATGAAGTAGATAAAACTTTTTTTTTTGTTTACAAATTAAGAAATTTTCAATAATTTCTGCGCCTCTTAACGTTCAGGTATTATAGATTGTGTGCACCCTCCATATGTTGTAAAACCCACATTATATTCACCGAGTTTGTTTAAAAAATACAGTATTCGGGCAAAATTTCATTTTAAGTGGACCCGGGATGTCAATAAATTTATTTTTGTCGCCTATCATAATTACCTGGGTCCCTATCAATTATATCACTAAATTTATTTTTATAATATTAATTAATACTTATAAACTACCGACTTATGGAGAACTTTCCTGTTTGGAACAAACCCATCGTGAAACTGTTTTGCATTTATCACTTGCAATTATTTTTAATTTATAAATGTTGTCAAATAATAAATAATTAAACAACACGCCCATAACTAATAAAACAATAAAAAAACGTATTGTATTTTAACTTTTATTTAGGATCTACATATTTACGTACCAAAAAATAATCAAAATTGGAGGCGCTAATTCATTTAAGAGATAGCATCGATCAAATATTGTTTATTCGTACGTATTTTCTTGATTATGAGTTTATATTAAGGTTATTTATTACATATTAAATATCAATACGTGTTATAAATTAATGAATCTCGCGCCTTATTTATTATTTGCTATTTTTTAAATGGCCTGATTGTCTAAAAAATTTTAAAAAAGAAACAGCTATTTTGATGGTTAGAATATTAATTAAATTAATTAAAATCATGGAAGAAAGAACAAAAAGGGGCAGGTTAGAATCAGGTTGATAAAAATAAATTAGAAAATAAGGAGAGATTAGCTTGAACTTTATCACTCACGCGCGACATATTTATGCAGTTTCCAGTTTTCATTTTCCATTTGATTTTAAAAATTTTGCTTTGGAAAAAACTTGTCAAGTTCACGTTATTTAATTATTTTCTTTGTTACCCAATGTTCATTCATTAAAACGGATTTTTTTTTGATTTGTTTAAATTAAGCAAAAAGTAAAGCACCTCGATCACAATTAGGATAAAATAATATAAATATATATTAAACAAACAGAAAAGACGGGATTGAGTTTTCCAGCATAAAAAAAAATATATATATATAAAAGATAAAATAAATAATAATAAATAAATAATAAATAATAATAAACAAATCATGATTTTGATTTGATCGTTCTTTATTTAATAAAGATTTTTTTTTTCAACAAAAAAAATTTATCATAAATAGGAATATTCTATTAATAACATTATAGTTTAGAATTTATTGCTAATATTAATCAACTTATTTAGGATTTCTCATTTTTTATCACCAATATTACTGTTACAATTAAACAATATTAAAATTGACATTATATAGGTATTACCATTATTGGCAAGTCTTTATCTTTCCAATCGACGTTCGCGGATATCTGTCACAATAAATGCTTGTTTGTTTGTATTCTTATAAATGCAAAAGGCACATAAATGCTATGCCCTAACTAAATGGAGGAAGATAGAGATGTTGGCGAAGCAAGAAACTACAATGATGACAATGAGAATAATAAGGAATATGTACGAAAAATCTGGTTTTTGATATTCTTGTCAATTCCCAAATCTTCTGATTTACTTTGAAGCAAATAAATCATGTTTCTAAATTAAAATAGCTAATTTGTCATCCTCTAGAAACAAGTTCTAAGGCAAAATATTTCACCGTTTGCTCATTTTATTCATGTCAGTTAACATTCCAAGATTCTAACTAACATATAGAGACTTGGAGCATAGTGTGTATGCATAATCAGGTTTACGGCGTACCTTTTTTTTTTTTATTGGGTTGGATATTTGATACCGGATATATATTGTGTACATTTTTATAATAATATATACATGGTATCTCAATTTATCTCAATTGGCTACATAATTGAAATGCTAAATTTGGTACAAAATATTTTTAAATCAAAACCTAATACAGTAACCATAATTACCAAGAAAACATATTTAAACAATGTACTAATTAACAAATAATATTTTTATTTCTTTTTAATTGACTGCTTCAAGAGAGGTAAGAGTTAGAAAATTTAATCGTTATTAATCATAAATATTTATAATTTATAATTTTATTATTTATTTTTCCTCGATTGTTTTTTTTTCAATATTATTTTATTTTATTTGCACAATAGCTAGAGATGACAAACCAAAAAAAAACCCCGAAAAAACCACGAAACCCAAGGACTCTGGTAACTCCAGAGGTAATATTTCTATAGAAAATTAATTTACTTAATTCTTGTTTTTTATTTTTGATTATTTATTTTTTCTCTTGTTAATTAAATAGCAAGATGCTGAGATTATAAGATTATATAAAATACATGGATCCAACTGGTCAAAAATTTCAGAAGAAATGAACTCCTTGGATTCTCGTAAAATTCGGGAGAGGTAATTAATTATTAAATAATAATATTTATTTTATTTCTAATAATTAATAAATTTTTATTCCTTTCTCCTCTCTTCTTTTTTCAAAAGATATGTGAATCATCTGGACCCGACTGGTTAATAAAATGCTTTGTTTTTTTCCTTCAATAAAATTTTTTTCTAACTAACTAATAATCATCAAATTATTTATTATTTTTGTTATTACTATTTTAGTAAATTATGGCAAACTCGACAAGAGGGAGAAATATATAATCAGGATACTAGCCTGGCGTAATGGAAATGATTTCTCGTTGATAGCACGATTCCTAAAAAATCGTACGCAATTACAAGTGAAAAATTATTTTCACTCGCACAAAAGATCTATCATGAGAAAACTTGCACGAGCAAAATCACCAAATAGAAAGTTTCCAATAAATAAAAATTGGAGACCTCTTTCCTATGTTGAAAAAAATATAATCAACGCTTATGCAAGCCGGGCCGGTTATAAGGTCGATGACATTGCAGAAACGTTAGGAAATAAAAGAGACAAGCATACAATTGAAATTTATTTGCACAGTTCAAAAAAAGAAAACTATTTGACGTGCAAAAAAAGGTTTTTCAGGAAACGACCATTTTTCGCAAACAGAAGGAATATTAAAAACAAAATGGACATCGCCAATCTTATGAACTAGGATTTACTCTTTAATAAGGCGGTAGTAGTAGTAGATTATTTTTTTCTGTAGAAACTCGAAATTCGAAATAATTGTAAATTCTCTTTATTAATAATGATTCGTTTCTTTAATTTTTACTTTCAACTATTTTTTTTGATTTTTAAGCCAAATTTTACACATTATTATGAACTCTTTAAGAATAAATTTTTAAGAAAACATAAACCCCTAAGAGCAGCTCAAAATAGATTAATTCGTTATTGAAATTTTATTAAAATTAATATGTGTATATGTAAATAAAACTTTAGAAAAAAAATTAATTTCATTTCTATAAATAAAATTAAATAAATAAAATTTTTGTCAACATTAAATAATTTTTTATACAACTTGAAAAATTAATTAACTTTGGCCCTCTCAATGTCAGCCAAAACCATTTCTTTTACAAGTGATCAAAATCAACTTTATGTTTCCAACCAAGTTTATTATAAGCTTTAGTAGGATTACCAAGCAAAAGGTCAACTTCGGTTGGACGGAAGTATTTTGGATCTACGCGTACGCGAACGATTCCAGCGTCAACTTCGCTTCCAACCATATTTTCATCCTCGCTTTTCCAAACAATGGTTTTATTAATTACAGCAAATGATTTTTCAACAAATTCTCTAACAGTGTGAGTTTCACATCAACTACATTCCCTCTATTATTATTATTTTTTTTTTTGGAGGAAATAATATTTTAATATATAAATTACATATCATGTGAATATATCATTATAAATAATAATAAATGTAATAAATGTAATATGTACTAACCAATATAATCTCTTGTATGACCCCAATCACGCTTAGAATCAATGTTATCAAGATATATGCAACTTTGTTTATTTAAGTGAGTTTCAGCTACGGCTCTAGAAATTTTACGAGTTACAAAAGTACGACCTCTACGTGGAGATTCGTGATTGAATAAAACACCATTACAAGCAAACATATTGTATGCTTCACGGTAATTAACCACAATCCAATAGACATAAAGTTTGGCGATACCACGTGGATGCCTATAAATACATAAAGTGGTGGATAGATAAGTAGATATATATATATATATATATAAAGGGACATAGATTTATTAATTATCGGTATAAGTGAGGAGAGTAGTGTAAAAATAGTTGTTACCTGATAAAATCTAACATGGTTTGTTAAACCAACAATTCTGATGGCATCTAATAAACGTAAAGTTCTCAAACCATCTATATCACCCTAAAAATAATCGAATCAATTATAATTATCAACTAAAAAAATGAATTATATATATAATTGATTTTTCTATAAACTCACAGGTATTCAGCAATATCAAAAGAAATTTTGGCGTGAGATTGAACTCCAGGATTATAAATTTCAGTTGGAAGCACTTGTGAAACAATATGAAATCTGTCAGCTTTCCATAAATGGAGAGCCAATTTTGGACCTGAACATATTTTAAGAGAAAATCATTAATATCAAAAATATTTTTATTTAAAATTATTTGACACTTACGTTCATGTTGATCTTTGTATAAATGTTCAAGTCTACCAGTATTGAACGAAGAAGAACGACGGATAATACCATGAATAGCGTGGCATTTTTCTAAGAGGAATTCAGTAAGACAAGAGCCATCTTGACCAGACCAGTAATACCTAAAATTAATTTCTCTTTAATTAATTAATTATCTCTGTCATTCCGATTATTATTATCAAGATTATCTATTAATTAATAATTACCAGTCAATAGAGTAACTTTTCTTTTTCTATATTCATCAGGTGAAAGTGAAAGAGCTGATTTTGATACAACTGTAGACATTATTGTAGATTTGATTTTTGATTAATAATTTTGATTTTTTTGGTGGGAAAAAGTTGATTATATTATATACAATAATTTTCCGTTAAATGTGTACACAACCAATCTCGTGTTATTCACTTTTTTTGGGTAGGCAATAAATTCTTTATTTTATTTATATATATTAATATACGTACCGTACTAGAAAACAAAATTTCCCGAGTTCAACATAGCAATTCATATTCCCAACACTCTCCAGTACAATATTATAAGGTGAGTACCGTACTACATGCCATTTTTTTCTTTTTTCAACATGGTACGCATCTTCTATATTAATATTCTCTTTATTTCCCAATTAATTGAATTAATTGATTAACATTAATATTTATTATAATAGTGAGTGTTACCTAGACCAAATAAATTTCCCAGATTTAGAATCGACCGTATAAATTAAATAAACAAACTCAAGAAAAACAAAGAAAACTTACGATTCTATAATTTCCATTATATGCTTGTTAGATCCTTTTGCAATCTTTACCAAATTAATAATATAAACAAACAATTTTGAAATTTTCCGAATATTGATTAATCAAATTTGTCCTTGTAGTACTTGATGAATGTCAGACAGAAGTTTATTCTATTATTAAAACAAATTTGTGCCATAATTGTACAAGCTGTGCTACCAATATAATGTGATGGTGATTGTGATATAAGTCGGTAGGTTTCTGCATTTTTTTTAATTATTATTCAATATCATCATTCATAGTGATTTCGTTTAATTTCATCTTTGTAAAAAATTCACCTCCCCTAGTTTAGAAGGAAGTAATTTCTGATTGGAGTAATTTAGCAACGTGAGGAATTTGCCGAACGTTGTTTGTATTTTCCCAAGTTACTAACAGAAGACTTATGCTTCGTTTAACAATGCAACTCGTGATAATCAATTCACTAATCAAACCTTCTTTTAAGACTAGTGATAATTCTTTAATGGTTGAAAGAAAATATACCTTGTCATGAAAAGAAGGACATTTGCTATGACTTTTTTCATTGGTTTTGATAATTCCTTACTAGCTAGTTAAATGTTCAATATTCTTTTTTTCATGAGGACAATCAACATTTTCATCAATTAATGTTTATTCTGGTTATCTCACTATTTGATCTTACCAATATTTCATCTTCTAAAGTAATCAGCAAAGGGTGTATACTTTTTCCCGTTTCTCAAGAAGAGACGGGTCTATACACTTGTCCCAATTACAAATGACTTTATAAAATGCATCATCATCCAATAATCACAGAAATCAATTGATTTATTTCCAAAATTTTCTCACACTGAGCTCGGACGTCAGACTTGATAGAGTTGTATCAATTCATACCTTGAAAGTGCCGCTTTCATGGCCCTTCTTTTGCTGACAAAATAAGTAAAAATCCCGTGAACAAGGAAAGATATCTACAAGCCTTCAAGACCTGAATGTAATTTTTTAATAAATTCAGAGCAACCTGCTTCCATCTGGATTTTATATTATTATTATAAGCATTGTTGCTGATATTGATTTCCACCATCCATTAAGTGATGTCTCTAAAAAATTTGTTGTCAGTAAATAAATTTGTTGCTGATTTGAAAAACAACCAGGCATGGATTCTTTTTAAATCGACTATGAAATCAATTAATTGTAAAACCAATCTCAGTGCCAGATTTAAAAAATGTTTTTTTTTGTACAAGGATTCAATATCATAGGAAAGTTGTCTCTAGTCAATAATCACCTAATTTTGCATTTATTGAAGGAGATAGCTCATTGACCGAATTCATCGTCGTCGATTAACTTTTTTTTGTATTTCTAAAAACACAAAGCCATTGCAGGATAAGAAGGAAACTTGGTCGCCTTTTTCAAAGGTTCTAAAAGAACTAGCCTATACCGTATATATTTATTTTAATTGGATTATATCTCAACTAAATTTTATAAATCAATAACTTAATTATCTTTATATCAGGTAAAAGATTTTGAGTGGATGCTTCTCCAGTTCTCAACATACGTAATGCCATCTCCGTTTTTTTTAAAACAGAATCTGCTGTTCCATCTGGTTTTTATATCAATTTCCAACTTAAGTAATCGACTCTCAACATCGTAGTTTTCTTATTGAATCACATAAATTTACCGAACCTTTAATTTTAGACATCAAATTTCTTATTAAATCAACTTGCACACCCACAATTTCAATTCCTTGTTGAGTAACGCAGCGGTAGTGCATAAGTGATTTTGTTTGAGGATTATCCGTTGTGGCCCAACACCCTTACTAAAGTCGTTGGTATAGCTTGTGCAATAAGATTAATACCGGTATGCCCAATAAAAAATGCTTAAAAGTCCAAGTGGAATCAATGAAATGAACAAAAATGATTAATTATCTAAAGTAGAGTATCACACGTCTGTCGTAATTGATATCTTGCCTGGAAATTCATTTAATTGTAACCTTCGATTGATATATTATATAATTTTTAACTTTTGACAGTCTGTAGTCCTATATCTTTGGTCCAAAGATATAACATTTTTTTAAATAGACGTTTTCAAAGACTGAAAATGGTTGTAAGTCGCATATTGACCAAATGATTGATGTTTTATCTCGCTTATTTGTTCCAAGTCAGTATAGTGGTTAATTCTTGCAAAATTCAATGTTGTTTGGTATGTAGAATTTCCAGTTTTATTCTACACATATTACTTGTGTTGAATTTTGTTTCTAGTATGATTCCCAATTGCTGTTTTTCTTTGAACAAGTTGAAGATTCTTGAACATAATTTTACTAGAATCCTGTGAATTTATTAAGCTGTCATCAACCATCATAAATTAATCCACCATTGTCAATTAATCCTTCATCATAAATTCACCTATCAAAAATTCATGAGTTGGAAAACCTTCTTCTGAAAAATCGACATTAAGATATTCAGATATTTCATTAAAAAGAAAAAAAAGAAAAATACAAAAAATTATCTTTTTTCGTCAGAAAAATTTGAATTGGGACCAGACCGCCGGTTCTAGAACTTGGAATTGTGAGTATATATGTCGCAGGATTGCTCTTCATAGTAAACTTGTTATATGAAAATTATAAAATTAGAATGATGTCCAATAAGTATAACTGCCATGAAGTTTTAAACATTGAATATTTGAAAACATTACACACCTTTCTTTGGTATATCCCTTTGATCTGCAATTTTCCCATCTTGGTTTATATTATTTTATAAAAATGAAGAATCAAACTAAAAAAAAAATTCAAACACTTTGGGATAAATAAATAAATATATCCAATCGTCAGTTGATAACTTTACTCAAGATAAACAAAATGACGATATATATTTGAAATAAAATAATACCTTGTTTTCAAAAGGGGATATAAAACATGATATTTGAATTATTTTGTTCCACCGATTCTTCTCACATCTCACTTACTCTTGCTCTTATCCCACGAGCCACTCATTCGGGACCTTATTTTATCATATCCTAGAGGGAGACAAACTGATAAACTTGAAAGAATATATTAGAATGAAATAATTTTAATTCCTAGAAGCAAATAGTAAATAGAATGATTTATAGAAATTATATTTATCAAATATGAAATTGTAATTTCGTTGCCATCTAACTGGATTGTCCAGACAGTGCACACTATTAACATCTAATATAATACAGTTGAATAATGATTATTAGTATCATTAATGTCAGCAGTATATGACAACGATGTTGTTATCGTTAACGATGATTTTCAGACGCTGATTGATGATTGTTATTTCTAAAGAGACATCTCATAAGTATGTTGTGATTTTAAACCAGGAAGGAAACCTTTACGTATGTTTTCCAACTTGAATATTGAATTTAAATAATCGGATAATTTACCCCTTGAAAATCACTACCAAAATTTGAAACCATTAATTACATCAAAAAGAACTATCTGTTTTTAATGTCTACAGCGATTAAGAAAAGATAATGAGAGACTAGTTGTTGGAGCTAATTATGCGGTCCGAGTCTAAATTAATCTTGACTTGCGAAGGTACCGTTTCTTCATCTTCTAGTGTTACAAAATGGTATATTAAAGTTACCCCGACTTCTTTACTAAACTCATCCAAAAAAAATCTTATTGGACGCGCAAATAAAAAATTTTGATAAATTAAATATATATATATCCAAGTAGAAACAGGGTAATTTGGAATTATGCCGGTAATAATGATGCCTACTTGTAGATCGTTACCAGCGAAAAAACATTAAAGTATTGTATTAATATATAATTAGAAATTTAAAATGATTTGTTTAAAAAGGAACAATATAACACAATGTGTAATTGTATTTTTTTCGCGAAAAACGGCGCTGTGTGTCAAAAAAATTTTAATCAATAACAATATTATGAACGTGGAAAATCTTACTTTTGTGGGTTGTGTTTATTCGGCTCTGGTTGTTTGAATCATTTTGTGAAAGAATAAAGTTATAAGAAACGTCAATTTTAGAATTCTAGGTGTTTGTTTGTTTTGGTCTGGAGTTTTCGAACATAATCAAACATATTATTTATTGTTGATAAATCAAATGTGTAGTGTACGACTTTTTGCTACATGTGATACACTGAACAAATTTACATCTTTAAACCAAACAAAAATCGGCTGTTTTTATATTGCGCTGATCCTTATTCTTTGTTACTTATCAAAAAACCTGCTGCAACAAGATTCATCAAAACATTTATATGGTTGTTATTTTTATTATTTTATTTTAATGTCTGGTCATCACAGATACTTGATAATTATATCACATTATGTAAAAATTTCTTGTTTTGCAATCTATACAATAAATAAAATAAATATCAACAAAGATTCTATCTTATTATGGATTAATGATAAACAAATAAATCATATTTTTCTTCCCCTGCACCATCCATCACCTTTTTGGACATGAAAAACATGAAAAACAAGTGTTTTTTTACTAATAATTTTTTATATAAATGATCGTCTTATTATGTAATTTATACATATTGTGTAACCAATTTTTTATGGGGTATATTAAGGACCCCGCAAACTTCAAAAAGTCATATAAAAATAACCAAATTTGGAAAGATTGTCTCTAATAGCAATCACAGTGTGATGTCAAACTCTATTACTATCAAACTGTGATTTTCGGATGTAATCTATCTATATAGTTTTCGAGACCCTGGTGTATATATATTTCAAAAACCTGAATATCAGTATCCGATTAGTTAATATTAAAAAAAAAATTCATTTCGAAAAAAATTTCGGTTTAATATGATCTACGGATTAAAAAGTAAAAAGCTACGGTTTAACGGGGTAAAAAATCTCCATCTAATTTGGGCTTTGTGTTTTTTAAAAAAGTTAGTTTTAAGGAATGTTTCAAATTAACAGGATTCGATTGACTATGTATATAAAAAAATCGTCACACTAATATTGGAAAAAGACTAGGTCATTTCGATTTTTTTAAAATGACCCGGGTCACATTGAATCTATAATCACTGGTCACCAAGGTCATTTAGGAAATGAATGACATGACCTTGGTAATCATCGGTCACTTAAGTGACATAATCATTAAGTCATTCAACTATAATTAACCAATAAAATCGCTACAAGTTTTCTAAAAAAAAAATATAATAATTCAAATCCACATCTATTTTATATTTATTTAAAAATAATAGTAACTCTATTGTTACATGTAAAGTTGTATTGATGCATATTCGTCTAACTTTAAACGCCTATACCAGTCACAGGTCATTGCAGATCAAGTGTCATATTTTTCATTTGACCAGTAACTCATCTTTTGTAATGACCTAACAACTTTTCTTTAGTTTCTGATTCCAGCAAATTCATATTTAAGATTTCTAAACCGGGTTTTCTGATCGAAACTAACTTCATAGTAGCTGAAATTCCCAAACGCTTTGGACAAAGTTAATTTTTTATAGGCCCAAACTGTTTTTTATTAATAGCCGAAATTATTTAAATTAAAATAGGTTGATTTATATAGTTTTTTCATGTTCATTCTTGTAAAAAATATTGAGAAGCCCATACCATTGCCAAAGCTACTACTTTTTTCAAAATAGTTTGGACCAGAAACCTTATTCCACGCCTTTAATTAATTAATTAAACACTCATTTAATACCAAGTGCATCTTTGAGTATTAGCAGATGCATCAATATCTGCTATAAATATTATAAATCAATTGGTTGCTTGGTGATACCTAAGTAATTAGTTGTTTGTAATATATTATAATAACCTTAGTATCATTTGGAGAGGACTACTGACTGATAAAAAACTAGATACCTTGAAAAGGAATAAAAGGGCATCAAGTGACACAAGCTTTTAAATTTTATCACGTGTACAAATTTTAGCCAATAAAATTTAAGAAAATAAATAAAAGGAATTAATATTTTTGTAAAAATCTGACCGCAATGAATTATTCCTTAACCTCTAAATAATTGCTTGGTGATCACTCCCGGGGAGAAGATATCATTTTCATATGTTTGACTTTGTTAGATCACTATTTTGTACCCATTCAATGAGAATATAATTTACTTTTTTACTTTTTTTTCTTTTGATGTTAATGGTAAAGATAGTCAGTCAAAATTAATTATTAACAAAACCTGGATTTTATGCGTCTCCTTCTTTCTGACTCATTTCCTTCTCATTTCGCGATTCTGTTTTGTTTTGTTCTTTCATTTTCACTATAAACTTTATTTGAAGATTAAATTTTTTTTGAGTAATATTTATTTAGGATAAAAAATTATATTTGATCGCTAAACTTTTATTGGTCGTGTAAATCATTAAAACAATAATAAATTTTTTATGGTCGCGTAATTCTTTAATCAATAAAATCATTGATATTTCTTATATTTCTTCTTAAAGAAAATATAAACTATATATATATGCCTTCTCGACTTTAAATTCACGTGACCAAGAAAATTTTATGATTGAAATTTTTTCGTTGCCACTATATTACTAAGAAAGAAATACTTGCTTAATATTACATTTCCCGTTCGTTATTATTATTCGCTATTAATAAATGAATACTAATGGATACTATATACTATATATAAAATAGAAAATGAGGATAGTCAGCCACTCACGAGTTTGACATAGATAAATATTATCGGAAAGTTTAAGGTGAGCTAACGTAGAGACAATATATGTATTTTAAAGTTTATTACGTGTTCACCAGGAGTTTGAACTTTAATATTAAATAAATACGTAATCACAAGAATTTCTCCAACAGGTACTATGTAGTACACCTTACCCTTAACAATCTGATGGATTATTAAAAACTTCCTACCTTTGTCGCTTCAGGAATTCGAGCTTAATCATAATATTCTAATTTCTTTTATCAAAAAAAAAAGTTTAGTTATACACTGATACGATGCAACGGAACAATTGGGCTGAAATTGCATCCGGATCTTTCCTTCTTTTGGAGAGTCAGTTGAAACCTAACACCTAAGCTTAATCTGTTAGGAATGGAACTTTCTCATTGCCACTTGGGCGACAAAGCAATGAGCCATTATTCTATCTTGCAAGAGGACTCGGACGAGCAAATAGGGCTTCAATGAAAAAAATCAATGCTAAAACCAATTAAATTCAACGAAAATACTGAATGTTTATTTCCAACCCTGTCAAATTTTCTTGTCAAGACTTTTCTCAAAATTAGTTACCTTGAAACTTCATTTCTGCATGGTTTTAATATTTATGTAATTTATTTATTACTCTTGCATAGTTATCGTAAACATCTTAACAGGCGATTGAAAATAATAAAAAGAAAAATAACGTTATATTCATTTTAATAGAAAATGTTAAAAAATTTATTAGGATAAAAACTACCGGATTGTGAATATTATCTTCTTTTCATCATTTATAACATCCTCTTCCTTCAATGTTTTATCTTTCCTTTATTGGTTTACCTTCTATGATTCATTTTTTGTTGATAGAAGTTTTTTTCAGCGAGACAGCAATTCCCTTTCCTTCTCCACCACATAATTCCCGGATTTCAATTTCCATTTCACCAAATGAAAAAATTCCCACAAGATTTAGATTTCCCTTGGGCATTTAGATCACTGATTGGTTTACTTGGTTTATCTTTTTTCTAGGCTCTATTTAATTATTTTATCAATCTTTTGATTGGTGTTACAGGACTGATTTTTATAGGTTTGATAATATAGTAAAAGGTCAAGAGTAGTAGTCCACTCTCAACAATTCATGAAGAAAGAGAATTTGTAGTTTTATTTATTTTTTTATTTTTTTCGTGTCGATAAAGAAAGTCTTGGTTTTTTTTTTTTATAATTTCGATTTGGCTTTGGCAGTAAGAAAAATTATGTTTATAATATCGTTGGTGGAAAATTTATTTGAATTTTAAAAGAATTTCTTATTTATAATCCTATTTTTTGAGATTGAATGTTAACATAAATGCGACAAGGATTCTTGATGAGTAAGTAACGTGATCAAAATACAGGAATTATCACAAAAAAAAATTACATATGATATTCACGCTTAATCCAAGTTTCATTTCAAGTTTCACCTTCTTTAAAGCAGATTACATGTTAATACTAAGACAACCGTCTTTGCCCAAAGCCACCTCTATTGAAGTTAAATCACTAATTGACGCCAGGATAAATGTTAATATTAATTAAATCCGCAACGATGGAAATAACTTTTTTCGAATCGTGAAACTTTTTAAACTAGGCAAACATTCATACAAAAAATAAAAAATTTTATCTTTTATTTCACCAATTTAAACTTAATAAATATATACATGAATCCCTAAATAATTTACAAGAAATAAATGAAATATCGCCAACTTGGCAAGAAAAAGCCAAACTGATGACTAAAAAAACAAAAAAGATAAACTTCGGCGGACGAAGATGCATTGCCAAGAAACCAAGTTTTTTCCGTAATAGAAAAAAAAAATAACTTGCTAAGTAATCAAGATAGATAAAAAGGAAAAGTTCGAAAATAAAACTCGCTAGGAAGAAGCTTCCATATGTTATGGTATATAAGCTATTTGGACAACAGCAACAGCTACGCCAAGTGGTCCTGGAGGAATGGATGAAATGTGGGGTTATATAGATGGGCGTCTAAACTAAATTATTTAGACAATGTCTAAAATATAGATTAATTTAGACATTTAGACAGATTGTCTAAAATGTTGAATTTTTATCGGATAATTTACCGAACTTTGTTGGATTTTTGTGTATATTCACGTTGACAAATCATTACTATTTATATTAATTTAGACATTTAGACATTTTTGTCTAAATACTATTTTGACGCCAAAAACAATTTAGACGCCCATCTATAGTGGGGTTATATGACGAATTTGTTGGGAAACATGGACTATATTAGGATTAATTCATCGACGCCAGGCATCTTTGGTAACCAGTAAAAAAGATTGTTTACTCCAAATAAAAAAACGAAATATTAGCAAAAAATACACTTTTTTTTTGTGAAAAAATAAAATACGGATAAAAAAATTGATATTGAACGATTATACAATTAAAAAAATGTTGCGGAAAAATGCTCATATATATGCATAGCATATTAATATATATTAATATATATTAATATATAATCACTCTCTGAAAAATTGAGAATGACTGTGGAAAAATTTCAAATTTCCTTATATAGCAACAATAAGTTATTCCGAAAATGTGGCAATGAAATTTTTTTCAACAAACTGCTCATGTGTCAATTTTTTGCCGCCCGCGCTACATAATTTTTGGCGCTAAAACAAAAAAAAAATTGAAAGAAGCTTAATCTGGTTAGATTCCTTTTTTAAATTTACTCTAGATTGCATCAGCCGGGAATCGAACCCGGGCCACTTGCTTGGAAGGCAAGTATTCTACCATTAGACCACTGATGCTCTTTATTGAGTGATCGGTTGAAATAAATTTATTTGATATATAGTAAATATTTATTGCATCGAGCGATCAAGTAAAATTTATATAGCAAATGGATTTTCTTTGTTTTTTTTTGATTTAAATTACATTTTATTTATGTATATGTCTATTTATAAAATACACCATTATTATTATAATACAAATTAGATTTTAATTCCTAAATTAATCAAATAAATTAAAGTAATGATATTGATATTGGTTCTCGTGGCGTTAAAGATTCAATTTTAGCCAAAAGTTCAAGAACTTCCGACTTTGTTTAAAGAAAAAAATCAATAAATATTTTATGTTTTATTATATTAAAATGATTAATTATTTACTGATAAAAGTGATTGGTCACCTTTAGTTCCTCGTTGCTTTTCTTCAATTGATCATAATTCGTTTCTAATTTCTTGTATTCTTCAAACTTTTTATCTCGTTCAAATATCCAAATTTCTTTCTTTAAATTTAAATTTAAATTCATTTAGATTTTGATTTGGAAAAATTATTTATTTAAAATTATTTAATCGATCAATTTTTATCTTACCTGTTTTTCAAATGCAGTTTTTTGATTATTTTGTGAATCTTTGACATTCTTTTTACACTTTATTCTCAATTCATTAATCATTTCAGATTGATCACTATTTTGTGATGAATTCAGAAATTATGAATATAAAAAAATGTGAGTTTTTTAATATGAATTAAGGCATTTACCTAACCAAATTCTTTAGTTGTTCGATCTCTTGATCTTTAGATTCTAATATCATTTCCATTTTATGCCACTCCATCACTAAAATTTCTAAATCTTTTCTTTGCCTTTCAAATTTTTTAGTATCAAACTCCCTAGATAACAGCAACAATAATTAATATACTTCTATATATATGTTGTGTGCGCGCACACACACTTGTAGATAAATACCATAACACAAGTTGTTTCTTTAATTGATCGATTATTTCTTGATATTCTGTTAATTTAACGAGTTCTGGTTCAATTAATTTAAGTTTACTTTCCACTAAAAAATTTCTAAAAAAAAAAATTTAAATATTCTCATTTTCATGTTATAATTAAAAAAGTAATATTATCTAATAAATAATTATAAAATCTGGATTACTTTGCTTCTATCTCTTCAATTCGTCTACTTTGTTTACTTATCGTAAGCTAAATTATACAATACATGTTATTATAATTTAATAAAATTCATCATAAATTCTCATGAAAAAATTAAAAATGCCTACCTTTGCTTCGTTTAATTCTTGTAGTGTTTTATCCATTTGTAATTTCAATTCTTTTTCCTGTTCTCGATAATTCTTTAGTTTTGTGTTCAGTTCATTTTCCCATTGAACTTTTGTCTTTTTTAAGTTTGCAGTTTCGGTTCTTTGTCTATCAAATGCTGCCTGAACTCTCTTTAATTGAGATTTCAATGTTCTACATGTATTGTACAAATTTTGTCTTTCTGCTTCTGCCATATTGTCAAGTATATGATCACGATGAAGACGCCCAATGTGTTGAAGATGTTGTTGTTTAAGATAAAGTTCAAAATTTAACTCATTACGAAGTAACATAATTTCACGTTGAAGAAATGCCACACTGGAATCCACATTTGATAACGTTGTTGCTGTTGTCGTTGTTGGGTTTAATGGTGGTGAAATAATAATATTATTATTTGCTGGCTGTGATGAAAGTGAGTTTGAATATGATATTATTTTTGATGCCTATAAAATTCCCATCATGGTATTTTTAATTATTATTAAGTAAAAGAAATAATATAAATTAATTAATTAATAAGTAATAAAATACCCAAGGATCATCGCCTACTACTATATCAACTCCACTTTTAAGAGCTTCATGAACTTCCATGATTTCTTTCACGGAGATAGTATGTGATGGTCTTCTTCTCATTTCATTAGGTTTTCCCGTCACCGAATTATTAGATTCTTGTAATATTTTTTTGGTTATATTTTCTATCTGATCTGCATATTTCTTTGATGAATTATCTATATCAAATCCAATTGATTCCACTATAAAATCTGCCGGTTCAAGTTTCATCCATCTTGACGTGTCTGAGAGTTCCTTCTCGCAATCGCTCGAAATTAAATTGGGATGAACCGTATGACGTTGTAACAATGGCTATAATATGTAAAATTATACACATATATATTTATAATTATAATTGTCAATTTATGTAATGTTATATATATGCATATTTATATTTATATTTATATTTATATTTTATATATCAAGATATTAATACCAAGCTTCGTGCTCTTATAACATCGTCGTCAATTCCCTCAACAATTGGGACATGATTCATCTTTTTAACCCATCCAGTTGGATCTTTTAAAAATTGTACAGTATTACATGGAAACATTCCATATAAAAATGTAAAAAGATGTCGAAAGTTTGGTTGGCCGGTTGGTGTATTTTTAAATGATGAACCTACCAAAAAAAACTTTCAATTATTTTACATTTTCTCTTGGAAATAGTTATTTGTGAGGAAAAATCATAGCTGTAATATAACAATAATATAACAAAAACTAATTTACCACATTTATCCCAAGTTATTTCATTATTATTATCATCATCATCATTATCATTACCATCATCATCATCATCATTATTATTATTATTATTATCATTTATTTCTTCCACATCATCCTTCGCATCATCATCATCATCATCATCATCATCATCACCATCACCAATATTTTTTGATCTGATATCACGTTTATCCCAACACAAAATTCTAATAAATATAATATAAAGTTGTGGAAGATAATTTATAACAGATGTGCAAATATGTGGTAATAACATAATTAATGTTGTCAATGAAAGTGATATTACTGTCGTTGATGTGTCTAACTGATTTTCATTAAAAAAAGAATTGAATTTGTTAATTGCATTTATTTACACGTGTATAGTATAATTATCTATACAATATGCCAATCTTACTTCATTAATAATAATCATAATACCTGAAGTGAAGTGAGTAAAGAATCAAGAAGTGGAGTTTCTAATATTTGATGAATGTGCAATGCCTAATAAATAATTATCCAATTGATCGATTAATCAATATATATATTAATTAATTAATCAATAAATCATAATAAATCAATAAATCAATCAATAAGTCAAATAAATCAATAAATTAAATCAATAATTGAAGAAATATCTACCTGTTGCCTAATAAATTCTCCTAATAAGGTTAAAACCTGTAACCTATATTTACTTTGAATAAAATATGAATTCAACAAAATAAAAAAATCCTAAAATAAAAGTTTATAAACTTTCTCGATCAATTAACAAGTATAAAATAACCATTACAGTAACAATGTATTATAATTCATCATTACCTTAGTCGACACTTCATCGATTTTTTCTGGATCTCCGGGTCCATCTCGAGCAGTTGTAAACTTCTCTATAAGATCAATTAATGTTTGCAGATCTGTATTAGACGAATTGGAACTTATACTTCGTAATGTATCTTTTATCTTTGTCATAATTATAGAATTCTTATGACATGCAAGCGTTGATTATAATTCAAAGAGAGGAGATTTTGTATAATTAATAGTGATGCACAATGACGTTTGTGTTACGCATCACAAATCAGATATGGTATTAGTGTATATATTTATATTAATATTAAAAAAATATTAATATTCAAAAACTTTTAAAATATTTTTTACAATGAACATTCTGCACCATAAAAGGTTTGTTTTATTAGTAGATGATTAATAATAATAATTATTATTCAGTTAATTACACATATTCACTCATATATATATATATATATTAGTTATCATGTTTATAATCATAAAAATAAAGAACGTGTTAGAAAAGATGAAGAAAAGGCAAAACAAGAAGAAGAAGTCAAGGCCGGAAGAACTGTTATAGCGGTAGTTAGATCTTCAAATTGACAGATAGATAATAAATTGATGATTTGATTTGATGCTCACATTTAATATTTTGATTTGATGATTAATAGGAAAGAGAACATAGACTATCTATGCTTCGTGAACGTGCAAAACAAAAACAAAATGAGTTAAAAATTTTAAATTCTGTCACGGGTAATGATTCATCAGTAGAACTGGAAACAGAAAAAATTGAAAATGCAGATAATGTAGAAATCAGTGATGGACATATTAATTTTTGGGCAGATTTAGAAAAGGTAAAATTTACAATTCAAATTGTACAGGTTTTTTTTTTTTTTTTTGTATATGGTAGGTTTTTAATTATCTAAATATTTGGATTTTAAGCAATCAACGCAAGTTGTTAAAACCAATGAAGAGTATGAAGCAGAAAAAAAGGCAAAAGAAAAAAAATCAGAGAGACAATTTACAATGTATTTAGATGAAGTAAAAGGTAAGGTTTATTCATATGACTAATATAATGAATGATAATATATGTGGTTAATATATCTTAATGTTTTAGAAAAAACACCTTGGTATGTAAAGTTAGGATTCGAGGAAAAGGATTTGGTCAAAGAAGACAAAAAGAGTAACAAGAGGTATGTATTTATATTGAAAATTATACATATAAATATATAATTGAGATATTGATAATCACTTTATTATAATAATTACTAAAAATATTATTATTATTAGCGTTAAGAAGGCGAAATCCGGGAAGAAAAAAGCTATCGGTGATCCTTTGATTACAATTAAGTCAAACTTGGATAAATTATCAAAAAAGAAACCAAAGGGCCGGGCAAGCATCAAAACAGTACGTAATTTTGCATGAATAATAAAAAACTAGTGGAAATAAAATTCAACTCGACATTTAACATTCAACATTTAATTTAACCCTATATCTTTAATCTATTGTAATAGAAATCGGCATCAAAGAACAATAATAATGAGGCTTCTGACATTGAAAAATTACGTGAAAAAAGATTGGAAAGAGAAGAAAGGGAAAAACTACGTGCTCAAAGATTATTGAATCCTGATATGGTTGAAGAAGACAACACAACGCCAAATAAACCAAATAAACGATATTACTCACAATATAATCCAAAAGAGACTAAAACTGCTCATGACCATTGGGTAAAAAAAAGCAGGAATGAACAGTATCATGTTGAATCCACGCGAACTACAAATAATAATAATAAAAGACAGGGTTTTTAATTATGTGTGTGTTAAAAGATTTGATTGGTTGATTCATTCATCGATTAATAATATAAATAATTTCAAGGGTATTAATATTAATTAATATGCAGCAGCACTTCTTTTAAAGGGGGAATCTTTTGACATCAAAAGTTTATAAATCTATTGAGATACAAGGGTGTTTTGAGGTGAAATAGAGGCCTCTATCTCAAGTTCTAATTCCTCTCTTTACAGAAGTGAATCACATATCAGATATTGTGTAAAGTTTCGCAAAATAGTAACATACAGATTCTATATATACAATAAATGATATCATCTTTCTCTTTTCAGTGTATCAAGTATACTAGTCTTCCTTGGTTAGAAAATACGATATCAGGATAGATATCTTGAGCAAGAGCAAGTGATCACAAATATCGTTCTAACCTTACTAGGAATCAATTATAGATTCTTAAAAAATCAGCTAAATTCTTTTTTACACTTTTAAAATCTATCTTTATAACATAACATCCAATAATGCATATTACTCGATCAGTTGCACCAACACCATAACCTTATGAATTCTCACTCGTAAGCTTAATTAAGCAATTCACAACAAAGCATCAAAAGCTAGTTCCTAGTGTAGTTCTTAAGTTCAGTCGAAAACTATATAGATCAAGGTTTGACCCACACTGTAATTTTCCAGTTGGCGAACTCTGGCGATTTTCACTAACATTGTATTTTGTTGATAGTAAATTTTAGGCCTTTTACTATAAGAATTGACCAGATATAGATATAACAACCTATTTATATATCCTGTTCAATCAACATTTTTAAAGATTAGGAAGCCTCTAGAGTTCCTATTCCACCATTTTCATTACGAATTAGCTTATATAGGCACAAATAAATGATCAATGTTGGTTTATTATCTATATGCTACTAAAGGTGGGAAAGAAATGGCGGTTGAGTTAGGGAATTGAAAGATAAATTAAATTAAGTTATGTGATAGAACGTATTAATCAAGAAATTAATAGTTTCTTTAACGTATTAATTAATTAATGATTCTAACACATATAATCAAACCTCCCTTACAAAGAGCAAGAATAAATTAAATTTATTAACTAAATAGTAGAGAATATTAATAAATTATTTGTTATATTGCCAAAAAATTTTTATTGATATTTACAATATTGTTCCAATGATTGATTACTTTACGTATTTTGTATTTATATACATATAGAAATTTATATACTGATATATTTTTAGAGATTTTTAATAGATGAATCCTTGTGGTGGTTGATAAATATAATTATTAACATCATCATCATCATTGACTGGCGGTAAGTTATGCGTTCCTGATACAAAATAATTGATGAATACCAAAATTATCAATGAAATTGAATATGTTGCGATAACAAATTTTAAAAATATTGAAGATTTAAAGGCTTCAACGTCTTGATTATTGGTATTATTACTAGCAATATTGCCAACCTATAAATACACAAATCAAATTAGATTTGATCAGATAAACACGAATTACTAGAATGTTATTTCATCACTTTACTTTATGTGATACTTCATTTATAGAATTGAATTTCCAATGATTTGGATATATAAAATCAGTTTCATAATTCATTTTTCCTATTAAATCCTAAGTAAATAAATCATTATTATTAGTAAAAAAAAATTATAAAAATATACTCCTTTGGAGGAAAATTTTTACCTTTTTATTATTCAAATATTTAGGAAAATTATTTTTATTAATAAAAATTAAAATAATGATTGAAAAAAATCCATATTCTAAAAAATATTCTAGGAATATTTTAGAATTACTATTATCATCATCGTTATTATTGTACATCATTTTTTTGTTTTTTATGAAGAAAAAAAAAGAGATCGCTGTATTTCGTCGCCATAAGCATGACAAAATAAAATTTGGACTTTTTTACCAAAATTAGAAAATTTTATAGAAATCGAAATTTTATGGGGAACGTGAATGTAATCATATTTATCGATGTTTATTCTCATTCTCATGCTTGGTTTTACTCCTAGTGCTATTGTCTCTGCCACATCCGTTTTGATGCATTTATGTTTATAATACATACCCATCAAAATAGATAAGGAAATATTGAATGCTTATCTGAAAAAAAAATAGACATATATTTGATGCTTTTGATTAGTATTAGTTTTGCAAATCATCATCGAGATAATTCAAATTATTGGTTTCAGTGTTATTTGCTTTTAAAAATCATGTGTTTTTATGTTTTTATATAAAAATTTCCAAATTGAAACATTTAAAGCTTAAAAGTTAATAACTGAACTAATAAATTATCTCGACAATAGGTTGTAGAACTAGTCAATAAATAGCTATCAAATATCATCCCTATTTTTCCCAAATAAGCATTCAATATTTCCCCTATTTAGCTTTAAAGTTATTTGATGAATTATAGTGACCCGCGCCGTATTTGAATAATTAATTATTACATATCTATTAAAATGAATTGATAAAAATGCCATCTTTTACATCTATCTGTCAAGTCTTTCTTAAAATTGCCATATTAACAAATAGTTTTGTAAATTACTCTATAAAAAGTCATTGCCTGAAGTTTAAATAAGAATCTATACTTGGCTTTACATCTAAAAAGCAAAGCTTATTTGATAATTTTAATAGAAAAGAAAATTCTTTGATAGATGGCAAAAGTAGAAGCTATGTTCTTTTCAAACTGCAAAGTTTAATTTATTTTAGAATGAGACCTATTTTCCGAATTGTTCGCAGATTCACTGATTTAAAGTAATCAACCAATGCGTTATTTGTTTTTCTACTTTATTTGAATTGTTTATAAGGTAACTAACTACCCTCAAACAAAAAATTTTAAAAAGTCAACAAAAGTACAAAGAACATACTTGTATAATAAAAAAAAATTTTTTTTTTATACAATTGGATGAGTTGTCATATGACTGATTATGTGGGGGTTGTTTCAGTAGGAAAGAACAAAGTGGCAATTTTGCCAAGATTATTTATGTAATTCATTACTAAATATCAGGAACCGCACCTACTTTACATAATAAACTTGAATTTTTCGAGTTCTGAACATGCGCCTCTGTATTATATTATGTACTAGCTAGCACTAGTACATAAATACATGAAACAGCCTCATATATAATAAATAATTGTAATAGTGTGATAATGATCAACAAATCACGACATGACAAATAGGAAATTTCTATTTTCTTTATTGGTATAAATATTTACACTTTCCATATATCGACATAAACCTTCATTTTCGATATTTCTTTTTCTCAAATCCTCTTTCTAAACAAAAGAAATACAAAACAACTATAAATGAGTTATAAAGCTCACCCAAATTACGAGCCTCCTCAACCTCCACCTCCGGAGTACTCAACACATTATCCGCCACCGCCACCTCCAGAATCTAATAGTTATTACAATAGCAATACCAATAACAATTATCAAAACTATGAAAGTCATCCTGTAAAAAAAAGTTCGGCGGGTGAAAAATGGAATACAAAACCAAAGTATCAAGGTAAGCATCATTTCATTATTGTTGATTATAATTATACGTTAAAACATCTAACGAAACATATATGACAGATTTATGGGCGGCAATATTATTTTTAATACACTTTGGTGCTTACGTTGCTGCAAGTTATTTTGGTTTAAAAGAGTTGGCAGATACAAAAACTATTGAAACTTCTGGACTCTTAATACTAATACAAAAAATGCTAAAACCCATTATTTATAGCGCATTAATCGGATTTGTTTTATCACTTGTTTATATGGTGTTTATGCAACAATTTCCAAAAATTTTAATTAAAGTTACTTTATGGCTTTCAATTGCTTTATATTTCCTTGCTGCTATTTTCTATGGTTATCTTAGGTTATATATCTATGTAAGTTTGTAATTTATTTTAATGTGATTTTTTTTATATGAAAAAAATTTTATTATTAGAAACTAATAATTAAAAAAATTTTTAGGCCATAGTATTTGCATTAATTGGTCTTTTATATGCATTCTGTGCTTATTCTTGGAGGAGTAGAATTCCATTTGCTGCGATCTTGTTAAAAACCGTTACATCAGTAACTAAAAAATATTATGGTACACTTGTAATAAGCCTTGTTGGATTATTATTAGAACTTGGTTGGACTGCATGGTGTGTGATTACAGCATATGGATGGTAAGTAATATACATATACACACACATGTAATAATTTTTATTCGATTCTCTCTATCTATCTCATTAATAATAAATCTTTTCTTGATTTAATTATTTAGGGTACAAAAATTTATAAGTTCCGGAGTATGTAAAACAACCGAAACCGGAAGATTTGGGTGTAGCAATGCAAATCTATATTTAATATTATTGTTCCTCGTGTTTAGTTTTTACTGGACAAGTCAAGTTATCAAGACTATTGTACATGTCACAGATTGTGGGACTTATGCATCATACTATTTTCTTGAAGGTACAGCTCAAGGTGTTGGATCTACACCAACATTAAGTTCATTAAAGCGTGCCTGCACCACTTCTTTTGGTAGTGTATGTTTTGGTAGTTTAATAATTGCAGCACTCAACACTTTAAAAGCAATTCTTAGAACACTTGCAAATAGTGATGAGGGTATTCTTGGATTTGTGGCTGCTTGTTTTGCCTGTATATTGGGATTAATTGAAGATCTTATTGAATACTTTAATTATTATGCATACATTCAAGGTAACTAACTAGCTAAACTGTATCTGATTGGTTATAAGGATGATGCATTTAATTTTAATTTTATATAAATTATCTAATGATCAAAAAATCACTTTGATTAATTTCATTATAGTTGCAATTTACGGTAAACCATTTATTAGAGCAGCAAAGGATACTTGGAGATTAGTTAAGGAACGTGGTATAGATGCAATTATTAATGATAATCTCGTGGGAAATGTTCTCGCGATGGCAGCGATTTTCATTGGGGGAATTTGTGCACTATTTGGATTCGTCTATATTACATATTTGGAACCGGGTTTGTTTACTGGTGATCAAATGGTTTTATCGAGTGCTTTGATTATTGTAATTTCCTTCATATTTGGCTTCACATTGACAGTAAGTGTATTATTATCAGTAGAATTTTATTATAAATAATACTTGGATGCATTTTAAATTTAAAAATGGTTTTTTTTATAGTCTGTTATGTTGCAACCTATTAATTCTGGTGTTTCAACTATATTTGTTGCTTTGGCCGAGGATCCTGATGCTTTGAGACAAACCAAACCTCGATTGTATCAAAGAATTGTTGAAACTTGGCCTCAAGTTGCTTATTAATTAACCTTTTTCATTATTATACCAATTTATTTATAATTGTGATTTACTTTATTATATTTTCATATTTCATATGTAAATTTATTGCCAAATTCCATATTAATATTAATATCATTTAGTCGAAACAACTTCACCAGTTGCGCAATGTCGATCTTTCCTAACAAAATTAGTAAAAAAAATTTTCAAATCTTTTTTTTTGTGTTAGTTGATAAAATAAAATAAAATAATTTTTTTTCTGCATCAAAAAATAATAAATAAATCAAAATGGGTCGTATGCATGCACCTGGTAAAGGTATAGCTCGTTCAGCTTTACCATATCGTCGTACACCGCCTTCTTGGTTGAAAACTACTCCCGATGATGTGTGTGAACAAATTTTT